CGTGTGGTGGACCTGGGTGGTGGTGCCACTGTCCGCTGTAGCTGTGGATCCTGTGGGTCCTGTAGGTCCTGTGGGTACTGTGGGTCCTGTGGGTCCTGTGGGTACTGTGGGTCCTGTGGGTACTGTTGGTCTCGTGGATTCTCATGTGTTTTGATCAATGTCCAAGTCAGTGAACGGGTCTTCATCTCTAAAATGTACCGTCGTGATTTGCCTTTAGGATTTCGTTCTTGTGTTTGCGAGGTCAGTGTCTGGCTCAGCTGTACTGGTTGTTGTTGTGAGTGAGATCCGTGGCGAGGTTCTGGACAGAGGAAAACTGTGTCTTTTGGTAGTGACTCCACCTCGACTCCCACACAATCTGAAACACAATAAAATTACTAATTAGTATGAACCATTTGGAGTAATCTCACCTGATCCTTTAACGACCTGCTAGAAGATCTTTGTATATTATGTCGTTATGCACAACGCTGACGATATATTGTTTCTTTTATCTCCTGTGATTAAACAGTGCAGTTATGATGCACGAATACACACACACACACACACACACACACACACACACACACACACACAACACACACAATGTGTTATATAACGTGAAGAACATGAGACCTAAAAATTGGCCAAATAATTTTAAATTCTATGCAAAAAATCAACCAATTTATGCTGCAACATTGACAAATACGATATAATTGTAATTATCATTTTTTGGAAATAAATTATATAAAACACCGACACAATGGAAATATAAACACAGAAGCAATTGAAACAAGTATTTTCTAAACTTCACTATCCTCATCACTTCAACAGAGACTGCAGACGACGGGCATTAAACATCTTCAACACACCCAGAGAAGACACTGCCGAGAAGAGATACATAGTCCTCCCCACCAACACCATTGCCAGACACGTTGCCAACATCCTTTCTAATACCTCCTTTGAAGTATCTTCTCCACAACCACGACCATCAAGGACATTACCAGTAATAGACAGGACAAACTTCCATCCTCTGCAGGGGTATACATAATCCCTTGTAATGACTGCAGCAAATTATACGTGGGTGAAACATCAAGAGACCTCCAAACACGTATTTCAGAACACCAGTACGCAGGCAGATCTGACGATTTAAGAAATGCCTGTGTACAACACCGAAATTCACACAACCATTTAATCACCTACAGAAACGCAGACTTAACGCCAGAGAAGACAACACTCAATACCGCAGAATCCTGGAATCATCACTTATCTGTATATCTAACAACTGCAACCAAAACAACGGCTTCTGTAACATATCTGAAACCCTTACCATGGAGCTTCCTCATCGTTATGCCACATAAAACATGAGAGTGGAGGAACACTGCAGAAGATCTACTCATATATATGCCCAATCTCTTTTTAAAGCTACCCAAGGTTCAAGCCTCTGTCACCCTACTAGGAAGATTGCCGCATGCATTTTGACTAAAAATATGAACATGAGGTGAGTGGCTGTGAAATTTGTGTCCTGCTTGTTCACTCAACACCAGAAAGACCATTATTTTTTGGCCCAAAACAACATGGCAGTCGTCCCCCGCTTTTCCTACTTTTCGGATCTAGCCCCCTGTGGCTCTTCCCAAAAATAGAAATGACACTCAGGGGGTAACATTTTAACGACGTGGAGGAGATTCAAGCAGAATCGCAGACCATGCTAGACACCATTTAGAAAGAAGAGTTCGCAGAAATGTTATGAGAAGTGGTAAGACACTGGGATCAGGTACAGTTCCAGAGAAGCTTCCAGGAGACTAACTTCAACTGGTGATAAGAAGCCTATATATTTCTTGGCAGTCTAGGAACTTTTTCATAGCACAGTGTATACATTCAAAACCGCTTGGTGGGTATGTGCACCTGGGGTGAATGGCACATAACTTTGGCCCTACCACTCCTAGGAATGTTCTAACTACACTGATGATGGCTGACGTGGTGTCCATTGTGACCCTGTGGATGAAGGAATGTGAGCCACTGTGTGCTCGTGTTCATTATATAACTATATATGAATTAGTATAATAGTAAATATCTATATATTAATCTATATATATATATATATATATATTATATAATTATAATATATCATAATATAATGATGAAGATAAACTAAAACCTTTACTTCAGATTAATTCACGAATCATTCCGTCAGTGTTACTTCAATGCGGTCCTCATGAAGGGGTAGCGGGGCTTGGAGCTCTCCTGGGGAAGACCTACTATCCCCTATGAATAGGAGTCACTCCCTTTCTGGGTTGTTGCTAAACTAACATCCTGACAGCCTCTCTTTCCTCGTTGCTCTTAATTTTCCTCTGGAGATGTGTGAAAGATTTCAGTATGTAAACACTTCCTAAGTCTTCTATTTAGTGGAAAAGGAAGCAGGAAAGCAGGATAATGATTCCCTCTTGACAACGTTTCTCCCACAACATTTTCGCTCAACTGGCAAAAACGTTTCCAAAAAGGGTTCAGTAATACTTATTTTGTGTCTGTTTTCTCCATTGTGTCGGTAGTTTGTGTAACTTCTCCCAGTTTCCACTGAATGCCCATCACTGCTAGGTGTAGTACGGGGTCGCCAGTGCACCACCCCAAGAAAAATGAATTTAGGTGCAGATCCAAAAGTAAGTATTACAGGTGCGTGTTTCGTGTCGTCTTTTATAGATGCCGATCTATTATTAACCAAGTGACGCTTGCACTGTCGGAGCTCTAGATCTACCTGGAGGTCATTCCGGGGATCAACGCCCCCGCGGCCCGGTCCACGACCAGGCCTCCCGGTGGATCAGGGCCTGATCAACGAGGCTGTTACTGGTGGCCGCACGCAATCCAACGTACGAACCACAGTCCGGCTGATCCGGCACCGTCTTTAGGTATCTGTCCAGCTCCCTCTTGAAGACAACCAGGGGTCTTTCCGTAATGCCCCTTATTGCTAGTGGGAGGCTGTTGAACAGTCTTGGGCTCCAGGACACTTATTGTGTTTCCTCTTAGTGTACCAGTGACGCCCCTACTTTTCACTGGGGGTATGTTGCATCGCCTGCCATGTCTTTTGCTTTCGTATGGAGTGATTGCTGTGTGCATATTATGGACCAGTCCCTCCAGAATCTTCCAGGTGTAGATTATGATATATCTCTCTCGCCTGCGCTCCAGTGAGTACAAGTCAAGTGCTTCCAGGCGTTCCCAGTAGTTAAGATGTTTGATGGAACTTATACGTGCAGTAAAGGTTCTCTGTGCATTCTCTAGATCTAAACAGGTAGTTTGGATAAGCCTTGCTTGGTTGATTCTACTCTGTATAACCCATGCAGGTCCGGAGCTTGTTTTCGAACACAATTGTTAGTTAATCGTTAAACATTCACCAGGTGATTGTACATTGTATTGGGTGGTCTTGGATAAGGTAATATGTGTATTACTGATACACAATTGTGATAACCATGCAAGGGGTGACTGAACTCTGAATGATGTCTTTTGAGTTATTGAGAAGGAAGTTTCCACTTTTAGTTCGCCTGTTTTTTCGTACGTCTCAAGATATCTTCACGCTTTCCTGGCTCTTCAGTGACTGTGGCTTTTCTCTACGATTCACGTGTGGATATTGGTTGTGGTGTGGAACCTGGTTCTGATGATCTCTGGGTGTTACATCACTTCTTGGCACCTCTTCAAGCAGTGATTGGCCAGGAACCGGGTTCTGTGTACTACCGTACTTTAGCTCATTGTGAGGGTTCGATGTGCTAACCTTCTCAGTGGTCGTGTGTCCTGTACTGTGAATAAACAGGGAGCGCCTTAAGGCAACATGCCACCCCCTCTCAGGCTTCTTTCATTACCGGAGAATCTACAGGGAATTTGGAACATTTTTAGGAGACTGTTTTAAGACCAATTATTCGATATTTTTTGTGTTAAAGTTATTGATAGTGTTTTTTAGTGTTGGAGTAAATTTTTTTTAACTTAAGGCTTTTGTTTTCCACTGTGGATGTGTTACGTTGGCACGAGGGTGAATTTACTTTTTATCGCTTAGAATCTTGAGTGATCTTTGGGTGCTAGGAGTCTCGTAAATTTTGCAGTACCTTCTTTCTGTCACACTGTCATTCCGTTACCCTGGCATCATCCTGTCATCTCATTATTCCGTCATCCCGTCATTTAATAACCCGATCATTCATCACACTCCCCACATATCCACAGCAGGAGGAATAGGAGTGGAGGTAGAAAAAAATGCGAGGAAGGGACGGCAGGGAAGGTAAGGGAGGGGCGACAGAAGTGGGTGAGGGACGGGGCTATTGTAGGGATGAGAGAGTGGACTGTAGTAAGGAGGGGCAGCAAGAGTGGTGTGGGAGGGAGAGGGTTATGCTGGTAACGATGCATTGTGGATAGTGACGAAGCAGAGAGGAGTGTCCCCCTGCCCTCGTAGTCAAACACAACAGCACCTTCCACCTGGCTGCTCTCTGATAAAGGTCCTGCAGTCTACACTCCACCTCACTCTCCGTGTTTCACCCTCCACACAATCCTCCACAGTATTTTCCAAGCTAATCTCAGCACTTTACATAGTTGAACCTCAGTCACTGAGGCACAGTAGATATGTCAGTGGTACAGCACGTATGTGGTTTGTCCTTAGGTGTTCACTCTAATGTAAGTCTTCTGTCTGTTTATTCATGTGATCTACGAATTTTGAGGAAAATTATATACAAAGAAGACAATGGATAAGAAAAGTGTAATGGACACTTGTTAATGTTCAGTAATAACCCACATGGAGACACAAACTCAAAAGATTAATTGATCTGTATATTTCAATCCCCTTCTAGGATCCTCTTCTGCTGAAGAGGATCCCAGAAGAGGCTCCCAGGAAAGGATCCCAGAAGGGGGTCGAAATATACAGATCAATTAATCTCCTGAGTTTCTGTCTCCATGTGATTATTACTGAGTAAAGAAGAAAGTATTTAACAAGTATAACCACAAGGAACATCACAGTGGCGCCGAGCGGACACAGACACCATTATTATTACTGTATTTAAATAAAAACCCTAATTCCGTGCGTAGTCATTCAGCGTAAGGAATGTTGGAGGATCGATTCTCCGTTCGCTAATCGAAAGGCTCTCTACTGCTACAAGGAAACAAGGATTAAATATCCGGTCACGTTGGGAGCCAACCAAGATACTTCTCTAAGAGAAAAATTACTGGCATACGGGTTTCTTATTTAACTGACTGGTTAGAGACGGAGGATCGAGCCTGCCACCACTCCTTGCGTTGAATGACCCCCCCATACGTGTTTGGCGCTTCACGAAATAGCAATCTTCAGTCTACACATTGTGGAGTAATAACTTAACACGTGAAGAATTACACAAAACTGAAACGTTAATCGTCCAA